AATAATAATAGTTGTAATAATAATAATTAATAAGCGACAAGAGCGAGCGCCACGCAACGAAAACGCCACAGAAAAACAACCATAATTAAATAATAAATAATCGACATAAATCGTGAAGTGAAGTGCACTCTCGCACTCTCGGTACAGTGAACACCAGACACAAAATGACTATGAAATCGATGAAGTACTCCGATTGTGATACCATCATGGATGGCTACAATCCGGTGCCACCGCCCCTGCCCCGCCGAGTGCCCCCCGTGCGAAATATCTACGCTGAGCCCTTTGCCCACGAGCCGAACCATTCCAGCAGGTAAATAATACATTTAATGCACTGAAAAAAAATTCCCTTGAATTCAGAAAATATTTCTGAGTGCAGTTAAGCATTTTCAAAGGACAAATATGCTAACGAAATTGCTCATCTCAGCTTGTAATTTTGAAATAAAAATTATTCCCCTTCTAAAACTTAAATATTCTGACATTAAATAAATTAAATATATTTTTTAATATTTAAACATATATTTTGATTAATTACAATTCGTCTTTTGGGCCAGAAAAAATTATATATGTATATTCTAGTACAAAAGAAGAATTTTTAAGAAGTCATTATGCTCTCTAAGTATAAAATTAAAAATCGAAATTATAAAATACTTTGTAGATGCCTTAGTTGGCATTTTTATAATATTTCCGTCCAAATTTTTTCATAACTTGTATATTCAAAAATGTTTCTGAACCTTAAAAATTTCATACATATGCCATTAAAAATCTTAAAATTATGTTTTATATTTTTGTGAAACATAATGCCATGTTACATTTTATTTTTTCTAAGTGTATTCACCTGCACACCTGTGCAAATAATTGTAATTAAGTCGAGTGTCATCGCGAATTTACAGCGCCATCAAAATGCCACGAACAAAGGCAAATGGCGATTATGCACGGGTCAACTCGGGTCAACTGTTTCGAGAGCTGTCTGACTGGCATGGCCATAAAATCATTGCCAAAATATTGCCACAGATTTAAGACTTAATTAACATTTGAGTCCTCGGGTCTGTTTCGCTGAAATGCATATAACAATTTGAAAATAAAGCAATCCGGGGAAAACGCAAACGCAAACGCAAACGTCTCTGGCATCTCAATCTTCATTTGAATCGCAAAATAAACCAAAGCGTGGTATGAAGTGCCTTGAACCATAATTAAATGGCAATTTCAATAGGAAAATAGAACTTGCAATTGTATCTAGTGCTTTGTAAGTGTTTTGTATCATAATTGGACGGTTTATTTTTCAAGTATCTATAGCCATAACAACAAGAAGTAAATGAATTTATTTATTTATTCTCAGGTTAAAAGGCAATTACAAAAGTAAACTAAACTAGGGAAAGTGAGGGTTATAGTGAAAATAAAGAAGTAAGCCATTTAAGCTAAACCAAAACTGTTATGGTTTACAAATCAACAAGATAGACATATGTTTATTTATAGAAGAACTTAAAATATCTTAAAACTAGTTAGTTTTTCTCCCAGTCCATTTATTACTTTTGATTACTATTTGACTGTTGATAACTTTAAGTTAAGCCAAAATAGATGCATTTAATGACGAATGCAATAAAATACATCCGTGACCCAGAAAATATTTGAACCCATTGAGATTGGCCTAAGAAAACCCAGTTCCTTTATTGCCGTGTCACCTTAAGGTGTTGCCTTGTTTTACTTTTTCAAAAAACTCCATTCTTCGGCGCAATCATCCCCAATTCAAACGCAAGAAACTGGAACACAATTGCAATAAACGCACGCCTCGATGAGTAGCTCCTATATTTTTTACCCATCCGTAACTCTTTCCCCATTTTTTTTTTGTCCATCCTCCCACTCATATGCCACAGAGTTGCATATTGAAAAAAGGAAAATATGTGTGTATGTAGATGGAGGAGAAGAGCAGATGATAAAGAAATGTCCCATATAAAGCGGCGTGAGTCGAGTGTACAATATGCATTTTCATATCTGAATAAATAGACAGGCGAGAGGTGCGGAGTTCTCACTGGGATACAATACTTTTATATATATATATATATATGTATGTATATATATATATATTTATATATGTACAGCCCACAACAATGACCGGGGGGTGAGGGGGCGGTAACGAGGGCAGACAGATGGAAGAGCTTACGAGGACGAGCTCACGAGGATGAGAATGTGGATGCGGATGGGTTTGTGGATGAGGATGAGGAGCAACAACGGCCAAGTGGTAACCAACAGTCAGCCAACTGATACAAGAGGCTGGATGCACAGCAAAAAAAAATGTGGAACCTATTGGTCAGCCCTTGGGGGATTTCTTTTGAGCAAAAGTTTACCACAATGCCTCGAAAATACCTGATATTTTGAGTATTAAATATATCATATTAAAATAATAAATATTTAAAAAACAGCAAGAATAATGTAGTAAAAATTTATATTTTAATTTGAAAAGGCTTACACATTTTTACACCTAGAAAAATATAAATTTAAATTCCCTCGAAAATATTTAAAGATATATTTATTTAAGATTACATTTTACAGGATCTAATTCTATTTTTCCGAAGCCAACATTTTTTTTTTCCTTCATAAAATAAAAATGTTATCTGTTTTCATTTTTAATAGATCAGAATATTACTTGAATTCTTCGAAAAAGTATGATGTTATAAATATATTATTTAAAAAATAATCTTATTATATTTTTTTTAACTGCCTTCAAAAAATGTTTAATAGTTTCTGTGCTGTCTTCTCTCATATTGAAAACCAATTCTTGAAATTCTACATATTCTTACACCTAAAAATATTTCCAGTAACTTAAAATAAAATCATACTATTAGCCCTTGGCATTTCAAATTTAAAGGAAATACAAATAATTTAATCCGTGAAATTAGACAAAAAATTTGTAAGAAATCAACAAAAGTTAAGAGCAAATCCAGCTATAACAAAAATAAAGAGTAGTATACTTTTCGCCCCGTGTAGTGGGCGTTTGGTCGCGTGGGCGTGGCTGTGGGCGGGTTTCGGCAGTGCGGCGCAATATGTTTGCCTGTCAGTTTCATGCATTTCATATCGAAAACCATTCGTACTTTTACTTGAGTGAGTTTTATGAGCAACGAGCCGAGCCTGTGCGGGGATACACACATCCATGAGGATGCTCCACTGGCTACATTGTATCCTTTTTCCAGCTCAAAAATGGATGGGGGGGGGGACCATGGCATCAGTGGCCCCGTTTATATGCATAGTTTTCGGTTGCTCTGCGATTGCAAACTGCGAAGTGGGTTAGATTGTGTTCCGCTGCCTGTGTTCACTCAGCTTTTATATTAAATGAAAATTCCAATTACTTTTTATGGGACTACCACTACGGAACGCGGGGCATCGGAGGGGTAAACTTAAATAGTTAAATTCCAAAGTAGAGAGTGGGAAAAATAGCATTGTCCTTGGACAGAAAATACCTTTACTCGTTGTTCCCCCTATTCTAAAACATTTGAATGTTGTTAGAATATTCTGAAACTGCCATGGGAAGATTGTAAATATGTTAGTTTTATTTATACATATATATATTGAAAACCTAGAATATTATGCACTTTTCTACCCTTGAATGTCAAAGTTCTCTCGCATTTAAGCTGCACGAATTCAAAACCGAAAAATTACAATAAATATTTTTCCATTTCTCCTCTCTTTTTTCGCCACTTTTAGGTAAGTTATGGAAACATTCTGGCAGCCCAGGAATACGAATGCGAATGGTACTATGTATATATATATGGTTGGGGTATGTATAAATATGTACATGCATATTTGAGGAGCGAGGGCAGGAAAAGCGCCACTGCAAAACTTGGAAAAGCCGGGGGAATTTAATAATTCAAGTGGCCGGGCGAAGGGCGAAGGCCTCTCTAATGACCTACTTGAAAACAAACAACAACAGTAACGAAAAAAGTATGACTACCCACCGGTGAACCACCCACTAGAGCACCACCCACTCTCGAACCACCCACCATCCACACATAAGTAATTTGTGTGCTCGTGTGGGTCAGGTGGTTTTTCGGTAGCCAGAAACTTGTTTAGTTTTCGGTTTGGCTTAGTTCAGTTTTCAGTTTTCAGTTTTCCATTTTCTATTTTCTATTTTCAGCTTTCGACTTGACTTGCAAGTTTAGTTTTGCACTTCAAGTGCATTTCACTAACAAAAATCCCACACAAAACATAACCTCTTGACCCAGTCCAATCAATAAGCCCCACCACTCATCTTTCTTAGGTCCGAACCCCCTCCTCCCCAACAAAAAAAAAAAATCGTGACGAACATTATGATTGAAATGCCGAGCTTCATATCATTTCGTTGGACAAACAAGTCGCACAAAAGTCCGAAGTGGGGGACATGTCATACGTATAGCATATATATACCATACCATACCATACCATACCCACTCGATGGTATTCTTATGGCAACTCGATTTTGCTCGTTAGACAACATTTGTTTCGGACAGTTGGCAACTAATTTGTTTTGAAATGGATGTCTAGAGTGTCCTCGACGACCCCCAGGACTTCACTTTGAGGCCGGGGACCAAGGTTCAGGGGTCAGCAAATTGAATAAAAAAAGGCACAAGACATTCGGAGAAAAGGAGCAGGCAGGCGAAAATGCCATGAACATGTGCAGCTTTTTTCTTTCAGCCCCCCCTCCGGAAAATAAGGGGACCCTCTTCGCTTGACAGTAAATATTATGCCACATTTCTGATAGATTTCAACAGGGAAATTATTATTTGTTGTTGATCCCTTTAAGCCCTTTCATAAGAATACTCAGTTTAGGATTTCTGCGGAAAAATATTCCAAGCACTTGGTAACAACAAAATAATAGATGACATTCCAATCGGAATAACCTTGTTTTTGTCTAAAATTTTAATTTAAATATCTATATTACATTGTTTTGTTTTCTTTAAAAACTAAAAATCGTTAAATAAATTGGATGTTATGCAAATAAAACGACGGAGCCTTGGTATTTTATGTGTGTATTTAGTGAAATAATGTGGCCAGATCAAGTAAAAGTTTTAGTTCCAAGTTTCGTAGGTCTTAAAAGTTAGGAGGTCCTTAATCCGTTTTCTTTTCGGGTTCATTATCATCGACTTCCCCCACATTAGCTGAACATTCGGCAATGCCAAATGGAGGTAATTCCAGTGATATTCCTGGCAAATCCATGATTAAAGGGGCGGACGCAGTTCCTATTAAGTCCCCGAATAAAGATCTAGCACTTGGCAGATAAAAATTTGGATCTTGATCGGGGTTTAAAATATCTTCGGAAACGTTTGAATCATTGGTGGTGTCTGGATTACTTGGTAAAATAGCAGGAGTTGTGCCTGCAAATTGGGAATCCATAAGGGTAAAAAGTTCCGGAAGGGGTACCGCCACTTCGTCTATATCTTCTCGATCCTCAAAATTTGATCTTTCTTGCACCAGAGTTTGCAAATTGGAGCCCACGGAAATAGATAGTGCGGATTCACCGAGCTCGTCTAACAAATCCTCTCGGGTATTGGATGTATTATCTATAAATAGTATATATAAAATAGATAGCAAGTGCATCCCTATATAATTTATTTACCTAAGGGCTTCCTATGTTTAGTTTTCTTTAACGAAGGTTTAAGATTTCGCCGATTTCCCTTTTTCTGCAAACTCTGGGAACTATTTGCCCTGGGTCTTTCGTTGATGGTTAGACTTCTTTCTGGTGGTTCGGCAATTGTCACCGATTTAGTGGAACCCCTGGGCTCCAAACGAGCAGATTTTAGCGAGGTGGTAGGACCACCTGATGTATCGGTGGGATTTTTGGCTATGGGACTACCACTGGGCACTGGAATTGCATTGCCAGGAATGGGGGCCATTGTCTGCCGAAGTTTTTTGTTTTCGGCAAAAAGAAGAGCCCTCAGATTCTTAATTTCATCAATGAGCTTCGATCGGCGCTCTTCCAACTCCCTCAGTTTCTGATGTTCACCCTCCAAGCTGGCAAAAAGTTGGGCAAATAGGGCATTATTCTGTTCCCGCTGGCGATTATGGGCTTCCAGGCGATCTGATATGTTTAAAGAATTACTGGCAGTGTTCTTCAAACTTTTGTTATTCTCCTCGGGTTTCTTTTCGGCCATTTTTGAGTTTAGACTAGAGCTTGAGGTCCTCGAGGGTTTGCCCTGTCCTGAAAATTTGGAGTTTTGCTTTCAGTTCCGGTGATGTGAACGATAGAGCCTTAAAAACAGAACTTAAGCACTGACAGTTTTCTCATGGGTTATGTATAAAAAATACTTATAAAAAACATTTTAAATTAATTTATTAAAAAAGACATTGGTTAAATGGATGCAGTATCCAACTTTTTTTGGGCTGACAAGATAGCCAGTTTTTATTAAAACATTGGTTATACCAAATGACACGTTTATCCTGACATTACAATTTTTTCCCCCAATGACAACATTTTAAATTGATAAAGTCACAAAATTTGCCCCTCAAAAAGTGCAAATAAATCGGAGTGCGATTTTATTTGCACTCCCTTAGCTGCCATTATCCCGGCCTTTTAGCCACTCTCAAATTGGTCGAACTATTAAAGTAAAAAACTTTTTAGCTTCTGTTTTCTGTTTTTCCCCCCAGCGAACCCACGAATCGGTACCATTTTATGCGGACTCTCATATTTTGGCAGACAAACTTCAAACTATTGTTGTGGCAAGTCAATGAACTGGCAAAATCGCCTAATATTTCCACACTCCCAGACACTTGTCTTTTTTTTGTTTTTTTGTGTGTGTTCTGTTCTGCTGAGGAGGAAAAAGGAGTTTTCCCTGGGAGCTCCGTGTTTTGTGCTCTGAATGGCCAAGTATATTAAAAGTCTATTTCTTTTGGCAAGACAATAAAGTAGCGCTGGGATATAGTGGTGAAGGACAGTGGCTCACCCTGCCCGTTTTGTTGTAACAAAGGGACACGAAGATGAAGTAGGAGCCGAGTGTAGGATTCAGGACTCAGGATCCTGGGATCCTGGGATCCCGGGTCTTTGGCAGTGGGATGAATGAGCCCGACTGGCGGGTGGCTATTGTTCTACTTCGCGAAATAGCTCACATAAAAAGCCAAAGAACGACGGCCATAAATGATTAAAAAAAAAAAAACGAGGGGGCAACCAGAAAAAAGGAGGCGGAGAAAATTGGTGGAAGCCCAAACTGAACCCGAAGTGGGGATAAATGACAGCCAACTGGCAGCCAGACAGAGGCGCTGTGAAAGGGGGGTCGGTCCTGGAAAAAACGGGCCAGAAAAATGGGGAGAATCCCGGAGAAAGGAGGACGCCAGAAGACAGAGGCGCTGTGGAGAAAAAAAGGGCCAGTAAAATGGAATAAAATGCCAGGCCGACATCGACATTTTCCCGCCCCAAAGACCCCCTCCTACGCCCCTGTCAATTCCGACGACGTCTACGAGGAAAAGGGTTAAAAATGTTTCATTGCCTCGACAGGACTGCGAAGACAACATATGCCAATAATTTACGCAATTTAGACAAAGTACAAAAAATACAAAAAAAAAAATGCCCAAGATGGGGGAAAAAATAAAACAAACAGAAACGAGAGAAGACATGGCCAGAAAAGCCTAAGGAAAATCCATCAGAACAGGGAGTTTTGGGTGCTGTGTGTCCAAAATACCACCCAAATATACAGCCCATTTAACCCCTACCCCCCACCCAGAAAAGCAAACCGAATTGATGCTCAATTTTATATTTTAAATGTTATTCAAATTGTGTCACATTTCTCAGTGTAATGGCTTGGAATTGTCTGCAGAAAAAAGGGTTGCCCCCAAAGTTGTTGTTTTCGAATGTTGTGGCTTGCTGGAGGAACTCCTCACCAATTGCTAACCCCCATTTTATTTATCGACTGCCATTTCTCCCGGGGTGTACACAAATATATAGAGACATATATAGAAGGGATATGTGAGAGATGCCTTAGAAATGAGCGATGCTCAGGCGATTTAAATGCGCTAAGCTAATTAGCTGTGGCCAACAACACCAAGAAGTTGGCCAACGCAACTGACCCTCAAAGGTTGCGTTTGCGGAAATTGCGTCATTAACAGCCGCTTAGTGTGGTGTGTATGGTAAATAAATACAATATACCCTATAAATGCACAGCCAAGGTCAGGAAAATAGCACTGGAAAGGGGTTGCTAATTTGGAAAAATATAAATCAAGTTTAAAGAACATCTTTTGAATATCAGAAACTTTTCTGATTGAAAACTTGTTTTACAATAATAGAACTCAAATCTTTTACGACCCTATGACACTTGCTAGATATTTTCATTAAGGCCTTAAGACACTGAATATGATTCTATGTATAAATAGTTAAATAAATGTGAAGATGTTCACCCCTCTTTCTATAGTTTGCCATAACTTTTTACAATAAATCCATTCAGTTAGTCAAAAATCAAGCAAGTAAAAAACCTGAAGAGAAAAATCAACATTTTAGAAATTTATATTTGTTATCATGTTTATATTTTTAAAAAATAAAAAATCCAGTGAGATTGTTAAAAATCAAGTAAGTGTTTTAAGGCCTTCTTTATTTGATCTGTTCTCTAAGTTAAACATATAAAATAAATTACACAATTATATTTGCTGTTTTCCCCCCTACTGCTGAATCATATCCAATTCCCAGCGCTATTATCATGACCGCAATCGTGTTTATATTATATATCCACACCACGCGTCCGCTGGCGAAACATTAACCCTAAGACCTTTGATTAATGCCGGCTCAAAAGACACAAAAAGGGAAACGAACAAAAAGCGGGGAACAAAGTCTCGTAATGAGACTGCCATTCCGATGATATGACATCTTGTTGTTTGGGTCCACTCGACTGGAGGACTCAAGGACTCGACCGAAAGGACCAAGGGACCGAAGGGCAGAAGGAACTCTTCTCTACCGTATTTTGCACCCATCTCAATTACAGTCCTTCAGCGGAGAGTCATCTTCATCTTCATCGCCACAGCCCCCGACGAATGGCCGATTCCTTTGGTCATTTCACCTGCCCTCCAGGGGTAACTTTCACAAGGTGAACTCCTTAACCTACTGCCCCAGCCACGCCCACCTCCGCCCCGTGCCGCCCCCTGCTAATGATGTCCAATTCAGTGTTCGATCCCACCTCCCCGGAGGCCAGAACAAACGAAAACAAATCCGAGGCCGAGGTGGACACCGAACTACATGACATCTGGGGTACTAAACATTGAGAGGCCAGTACATCCTCGACTGCTAATTGGACAAGTGAAAGTGAAATGGGGTCCTAACCCCAGGCCTTTTATTCCCAGGAAAAAGAACCATTCGATGGTTAGCTAATCGTACACTTTGCAAAATAAACACGACCCATAATTGGGTTCTGGGAAAAAAGAAGATGAAGTAGGGGTGCGGGAAAATATGTTTTATTTAATTGAATTACAAGGCTTTCTTGTAATTGAAAAACCTCTGTGTTTCCTTTAATAAGTGAAAAATGTTACTTCTCTTTTATTTTCCTTTTGATCTTTATATTGTGGGTTTTACAATGCTGCACAGATATTTATCATATATATATATACAGGTTTTTTTTTTATTAAATACATTTAAACTAATCCCAAACAACCAATATTCAAAATTTTCTTTTTACACTCACAAAAAATCTTCTTTCAAAAATAAAACTTGGCCCAAAAGTCTAAAAATATTAGTATCCTAAAGATTTTTCAAAAAAGGTTCTTAATTTTTTGTTTACTTTTGAAAAAGTTCCAAAATATAAAAAAGTCAAAATCAAAAGGTATACTTAAGACCGTATTCTCAAACTCATGTTATGTATCTTGTTAGTTAACTGCCAGATAAAGTTAACATGAAGTTAATTAGTTCAAAAAAAAATTAAAATAATATTGAGCAACTAAATATTTCGAAAGTAGCGAATAAACTCGTTGACAAAATAGAACATACCATTGAGAAATTATTCCCAAGTGATATTTCTGTTTTTTAGACCCCAAAACTTTTTTATAGCTAAGAGCCAAACTATTCCTGTTTTCTCTAAGTGTAAGTCCGATGCGGAACTGCTAATAAGAAGCACTCCTGCTCGACTAATGCCAAGTCAAAGGGAAAAGCTCTCGCCGCCCTTTCTTTTTAGTTTTATTTCTCTGTTCCTGTTTCTATTTCGGTTTCAGTTTCGGTTTCAGTGTCAAAGTCAGAGGCCGAGTCAAAGGGCGCATCAATGCTACTGAGCATATTTTGCGGTCGCCTTGCCTTGCCCCCAACCATTGCCATTTTCCAGCTGCCACAGAGCCCGGCTTTTCCTTACAATATTTTTTCCTCCTCTTTCTTTTTTTTTTACATCTTTTTGAGAACTTTCTGTGTGTGCCATGATGCTGCACAAAAAACTTCCGACAACAATTCTGCAAACGCAAGCAGGAAAACATAAATCTGGCTAAAGCTAAAACGCAAACTTTTATTTAAAAAAAAAGGAGGAAAAAGTCAGGGGCAAAAAAGAAGTGGAAAAAATAAAAGGAGGAATTTTGTGTGAGTGCGTGCAAGTGATAGAGGGATTGGATAAAACAGGGACGACGAGTGCAGCGAAGAGGTCCCGAGTTTTAAGATTGGCCCCAACTTATTTGCCGGGGGACTCAACTAGGTCGACTGGGAAAAGGTGCTTCCTTAAGATAAAATATGGGAAATAATTAAGAAGTAATAACATTTCGCAAAGTTTAAATATTAAGTCTATCATAAAAAAAAATAGTTTTATTTTTTAATTAATTAATGCAAAATTGGTACATTTAAAACTAATATAATAAATAACCAGCGTTTAAAGATATTTTTATTAATTTAATGGTTAAAAAAATATATATCTCGTTCTTATCTTCACTCATTGCTTTACCGACACTTTACCAACACTTTACTTACACCTTTCCAACACTAGAATATTATTAAATATTATATTTGTTGAAAGATTTCTTTCATTTCTATATTTTCTTTTGAGGAATCTCAGTTGTAGGGCATTATATAAGCTTCTTGAATGGCCCAAACCGCGTTTTGCGATGGACATAAAAATGCGAAAACAAGCTCTTCGCCGCTTCTACCAACTTCTTACCAAAGAAGGAAAGAGAGGGGTGTAGAACGAGCGAAAGAGAGGGAGATACAGCGAAGTATCTTGGTATCTCCTTTTTTTTCTTTAAGCAAATGTCCACATTTTGACCATTTGAAATCCAAACAGGCAACTTTTATGTGTGCTCCTTTATATTTTCTTCTTTTTTTCTGGCTACGTGTGAGT